CCTTGTCCCAGCTTCTGCCAACCGAGCAGCTCGAAAGCACATTAAAAAATGCAAGTAGAAAAATAGGAACCACCTTTGGCGGGAAGGGAACAGCGCTCGGTGCGCCTTTGGCGTTGAGTCATGCCGGCCACATGACCACGGAGACGTCTTCGGACAGCGCTGGCTCTTCGGCTTTGAAACGGAGATGAGCACCGCCCTCTAGAGTTGGGAACGACTAGCACATATGTGTGAAGGGAACTTTTACCTTTACCTTTAATGGCATAAAATATTTCTTTGTACGGGGGGGGGGGGGAAATTACAGGTACACTTTTTCGTTGTGCTCTAAGTAAAGCAGTATTTCCCGTAGACTTAGCATTCATGTAGATCTTGGAGGGGGAAACAGACACACATCCGGGCAAAGACAGACCACTATGGAAAACAGAAGGAAGTATCAAAAAAAAAACACCCCACCCCAAAAGTAATTATGCTGCAGCTTCTCTAGCCAACCATGGTTTATGATAAACATGGCACTGACAGGGGTTTGGTTCTCTCTCTCTTTTTTTAATCATATGCTTGTCTTTTCCTTATAAATGCTTGGAATATTCATGTAACTTAACACAGGAACAGCAAGGACTAAAGAAAAATGATTGGGTGCATCCTCATTATTATTATTATTATTATTATTATTTAAAAATAGAATTTCTACAGATCTTTGTGTAATTTGGGTTTTAGAGCCAAAATCTGCAGCAGCGAAGACTCACTAAATCACGCCCTATTTTAAAAGGTAAGGAAGCTTCCCCCCCCCCTGAAGTTATCTGCCCCTTGAGTTTTATTGTGTGTTGAAACCGTATATATGTCATTCCGTCTTATTATGCCTTTCTCTGTTGTTTATTACTTCACAGTGAACCTGTTAGGGATGCCAGCTGTATATCATGCCTAATCCAAGCCCGGGAAAGGGGGCGAGAGAGGGCGCTTATCCGGAATAGATGGATGTCCTCAATTTTCTGGCACTTGCTGTAATAAAAGTTCTATATAACCCAAATCAAGGCAAGGTCACTGCAGCATCTTCGGGAATCTGGTCGCTTTTCAAGAGCTTTAACTCTTCCAAAGGGTCATAGACAAGGTGAATGGCCTCCCGAGGACTCGGGATAATGTATAAATTTATAGAGACATTTTTATGGTCTTCACATAGAATTGTTGAACAATTTTTCTTCTTCTCCGGAAAAGCGCTGTAGGAAGGACAGTGTTACTAGGCCCATGTTGTAGACAAATGTGGAGAATGAGACGGTCTATCTCGGATTTTAAGGTGCAAGGAAGGTCAGGGGTGACCACCTCATTGTTTGTATCTTAGATGGTTTATCTTCTACTCTTAAAGCATCTCAAAGGAGAGCCGAGGTGGCACAGTGGTTAAATGCAGCACTGCAGGCTACTTCAGCTGACTGCAGTTCTGCAGTTCGGCTGTTCAAATCTCACCGGCTCNGGTCCACTGGTGGAACCTCTTCTAACCGGTTCGGTAGATTTGACGAACCGGTTCTACCGAATAGGTGCAAACTGGTAGGAACCCACCTCTGCTCCCGAGTGTCCAGAACACCCTGAAGGACCCTCCTCCCAAAAGATGCCTCGGCCGAGGCATACGTATTTAGCTGGTAGTGTCTGATGAAGAGTGAAGGCGAGGACCAGGAGGCAGTCCGGCAGATGTCCTCCATGGGTGCCTGGGTGACCCAGGCCGCTGAGGTGGCAGCACTCCTAGTGGAATGAGCTGTGATGCCCTGCGGCACTGGCAGCCCTCAAGCCTCGTAGGCCTTGAAAATGGCTAACCTTGATGGGAGGAGCCACGTCGCAATGATACATTGTTTGGATTCAGCTGTCCGAATCCATCGACGACACTTTTGCCCCTGGACGGTCCGGAAGGACCTAAACCGTCCCGAAGAGACGGTGACTGGGAAGACAAGACCTTGCTGGTCGCAGGGATATCGCAAAGTCCCTGATTCGACCCAAGGGGAGAGCTTCCAACCGAAAATGGCTAACCTGATCCATCTGCTGATGGTGGTCGGGGAGCCCTTAGCTCCCCAAGCTGAGGAATGGAAGGAAACGAAGAGAGCCTCCGACCGCCTGAAGGCGGCTGTGCGCTTGAAGTAAATGTGCAGAGTCCTTCTTACGTCCAGGCGGTGCCAGGACCTCTCTCTCTCCATTGAGGAGGAAGGACAAAAATCTGGGAGGATTACCTCCTGGCCCCTATGGAAGGGAGAATTGACCTTAGGCATGAGCCTAAGCATGACCCTGTTACTGTGAAAGGTACAGAGGTCCACCCTGGTAGAAAGAGTGGTAAGCTCGCACACCGTCCTGGCGGAGGTGATCGCCACGAGGAAAACCACCTTGAGGGTAAGGAACTGAAGGCTAACCTCTCTAAGGGGTTCAAAAGGTGCCTCCAGGAGTGCCTGTAGCACCGTAGGTAGGTCCCAAGTAGGGAAACGGTGGATCACTGGGGGCCGAAGTTTGGCCGCCCCTCGGAGGAACCTCTTAATGACTGGGATCTGGGACAGGGACTGAGATCCCCCCTCCGAGGATCGTGGCTAGGGCGGAGACCTGCCTTCTGAGGGTGCTATGGGCCAGACCCTTCTCCAGACAATCCTGGAGAAATTCCAGGACCTGAGGGACTGAGGACGAGGATGGATCTATCTGAGGAATCTGACACCATGCTGCAAAGGAAGTCCAGGTTGCATCGTAGATGCGGGTGGTGGATCTCCAAATAGCTCCTTTTAGGCCGAAGACTGAGGTTAATCTGGGGAGTCAGAAGGAGGAGCAGAAGGAGTGTCCTCAGTGAGCCAAGGTGGTGCAGTGGTTAGAGTGCAGTACTGCAGCCACTTCAGCTGACTGCTAGTTGCAGTTCGGCGGTTCAAATCTCACTGGCTCAAAGGTTGAC